TACCATGTTAGAGCCTCCGACAGATCAGATCCAATGTGCCTTCCTCAAGGTGCTTAGACCTTAAAGGAAATCAAAACCATGCACAAAAGCATCATCTTGGTGGAAGGGTTTCAAACTGGGGCAGTGAAACACTGTCGAACCAGCAGACGCTGGTGAATTGTTAGAAGCAAAGAAAATGGTCAGCAAAGATGGACTGGAAAAGAGAAAAGGAAGGCCTGCCCTGAGTGCACTGCTTGCCCACAGCATTCCTGGGACTAAGCTGTGGAGAAGGAAGGATGTATGCAAAGAATGGATAATGGACCCATTCCAGTAATGGGCTAGAAAGCAAGTTTTTCATTAAGACGACTAGATTTTTTTACAGCTAGCATCCCTAAAGGAAAAGCACAAAGGCATTTGGAGTATCCTACTAAAATCTGCATCCTGCACAATAACAAAATACACTTTCAGATACCAAAAGTAAGTTACTTTTGGTGCTTACGGTTCTCACCCACACAAGGTACATGATGCTTGAAGGTCTTGTGTCCCAGAGGAAAAAAACTCCCACAAACCTAATCCTTTAAAATACCTAACTTTCATACAGTTTTAATTTTAATTCTATAACTATGTTACCACAGCTCAGGATGCATGCAACCACATCTTCCAAAACTAGAGTGGTTACCTGTGGTTGGCTAGTGGGAATAGCCCAATTGCTATTTTCAGTGTGGCAAAGGGTGTTTCAGCTCTAAGAGTTCAGACTAAGCACAATTTGTGATGTAAGTAGCAACCTATCCAGAAGGCACAGCTCACCACTGACATTATCTTTCCAACCTAGAAGAATTCACCAAAGAAATAACAAGTTTGCATGTGTGTAGATGATCAGCTGAATGCACTTGGGCCCAAGATTTGAGTTCAATACACATCCAGACCCATACAAATCCCATCCCACACGTCAGGCTTCCTCATCTCATACACTGTCTCTGCTTCACACAGCTGCCATGGGAGAGGCTGCAGAAGAGAAACTAGATAGATTCATAGTCAAAGTTAGTCGCTTATTGCTGGATTTTCACTTAAAAAAAATAAATATTAAGGGTGGAAATCTTTAAATATTTAGTCTGTTTTAGGAGAAGTAAGAGACATCCTCTAATCTTAGGTTCCTTTGCTCGCCTAATAATGGTGAATAAACATCCCTTCTCTCTCCTACTTTCTTGCAAGATTAATTCTTCCAACTCTACAGATGCTAAAATGGAGGCACAAACGGATTAGTGTCACTGGACATAGATATTGCCATGACACTGGAAATAATCCATTCTTAGATGTCAGGTGGGTTATTTCTTGGGCTGGAAGTAAAATCTCCCTGAACCTGGCATATGAAGAAAAAGTAGCTGCACTTACAGACTAACACAGTAACAAGATGACTTGCCACTCCAAGTGGGACAGAGCAGGGCCAAAGGATAGAAGACTATTAACCCTCTTCCACTTGTCCCCTGTTTAATTAAACAAGCAAATCAGGAGGGGCATCAGAGGGAGCAGAAAATGCTCATATAAAAGCTACAATATTGTAAATTTCCCCCAAAACCCAGTTGGGAGAACTTGGTACTTCCAAGCAGGGATCAGGCACCTCATGGCTCACAGCCAGTCAGAACTAACCCTGTAAGTTAAAAATGCAAGTACAACACACAATCATCTCCAGCCATAGTCAGGATTTACTAATAAGAATGTAGTGACATATTTTTAAATGAAGCAATGAAGTCTGGGGAGAGGAGTGAAAGAACAATCCTGCAACACTTGCTGGAGTTTATTCACCAAGTTACAGCAGGACAAAACGAGGTGCTATTTTTGACTTTCTAATTAAATTCGTTCTAAAACCCTCCTGGCCACCAGCTGGTGAGATACAGCAGAAAGAAAAAACAAACAGAAAAAAAAAAGAAAACAGGTAATTAAAGAGGCCTTCCTGACCTTGATATTGGATAGCTGTTTTTTGGCCTTTAGGTACATGTTTCCAAATAAAAGGCAGCCCTTTGTGATCAGATGAAATCACAGAGAACAAGACTCACTCTTTCCATCTCCAAAGCTCCCACTAAAGCGTTCAAACAACTAACCCCCCTCTGAACATTCAGTCCCGACAACACTGGGAAATGTAACCTCCATCACCATGACACTCCCAGGAAATCAACACCTATCAACTACCAAGGAATAATTAAGAGAGGATAAAAAGACAGCTGCTTTCCCTCTGGTTTTTAATCATGGATCCAGCCCCCTGGGAGATTGCTAGGTTAGCAGAGACTTAGAGAAGATTAGCCCTTTCATTAATGTCAGGGGGTGAGGGGACAGTTTCAATAACTTCCACCAGGTATGTTTTTATCAGGGAGGCAGGCAGCTTGTTTAAGTAGTACCTCCCTGCCTGGTGTTGTAATTGAGCTTATAACCAAGAGTAATTCTGAGCTCAGAAAGGCTTTCCAGAGCAACCTTTTCTTCTTTTTAAAACAAAGAAAAAAATCCTGATGTGGTCAGACTGGTGATAAATGTAAGTTAGTTTGTTTTAAACAATAATTATACTCTTCCCTTTTGTTTTTCCTACTTAAAGTTCTTCAGCCTGTCTCCAGACATGGATTAGCACCTAGAACAAGCAACTATTACTGTCCCCATTTTTAAGATCAGAAAATAATAAAGAATTTAAGAAATTTTAAACAAGCTTTTAAATTCTACTTACAACATCTCAGAACAAAAGTAATAGGTTCAGTGTTTATATTAGGGAAATCAAACATGCACTTTTGACTTGGACATGTAAGTTAAAGCTTTCTGTTAACTATCAGGGTTAACGAGTTGTAAGTATAACTTAGTTGAAGCATTTGATTCTCTCAAAAGTGGTGAGCCTGACACATCTTGTTACACACAACTAGAGAACACAGGAGTACATGTCCATTAAAAATTAATTTGTTTTCACTCCACATATTTGGAAGTGACAGCACTTCAGAACAGCAATGAAATCACATCAGCCAGACAATACTTTCAATGTACCATTTTTCCCCTATGCCAGTGTTACTCCACACTTGCTTCTGTGGAGATTTTAAAGCACAAACTCTCAGGAATAACTTCTCTTAGAGATGCCACAAGGGAACCCAAGAAAAACTTAAAAGGGTTTCAAATATACTAACTTAAAATATCAATCGCAATGATTGGCAGCTTAGGTATACTACTTCATCTCTAATTTATCAGAAAAATTCTTCAGAAAAGTGAGAAAACAGAAGATTTTATCCCTTTAGGCATCTCCAGCCCTTCATGGCTGGCCAGTTACAAGCCTGTACCCACCCCCACTGACATTGCAAGACTGAACTCAATAGAGAAAGTACAAATAAGAGAAGGAAACATGTATCAACCTGTAACTTTGAACTTCTGGCATCTACAAAATACTCTCTCTTGCAAATCAGACCTTGGGGAAGAAGGGAAAGGGGCAGACATTGAGGACACGGCAGCATTCCAAGTCTCATTATTGAATTTGAATGTGGTGCTGGTGACTGCCCCCACATTTATCCATGGGATTCAGGGGCCCAGATGCTGTAGTCCAACTGATAAACCCTGTCAGAGTATTTCTAAGGAGCAAAGTCATCCACAGAACACACTTTCTCTAGAGGGCAGCTAATCATTCATTATTTACCCGTCTCAAATTATTTTGTGTGGTTTTTTTTAAATCATTAAAGACCTCAGCTTGAGAACCATGGGGCAAAGTTCAACAGTTTTGTTGTTAAGCAGGAGGTTGAACTAGGCAAGCAGAACAGCTCTAAGCTATTAAATGTGGAAAGGATTTATTGCCTATTTAAGGACTCAGATTCATAGCTGTCTCGGTACAAAATAGATGTATCAAGCTCTCCAAACAGTCCTTGGAAGCTCTGATCTTTTAAAAAAGATAAAATACAGACCCCTAGGTTTCTATATTACAGGAATGCAGGCTGCTGCTTCTGTTTCAAACAAAGCTGTGGCGTTTCCTGAAGGACAGAAATTTCAGGTCAGTCAGCTTTGAGACAAAGTTGTTTAGAAGAACAATAAAAAAAAAAAAAAAAAATCCACCAAAAAAACACCTCCAAAAAAACCCCCCTCAACTGCTTTGGTTTGCTCTGTCAGAAGAGAGTGTAGTGTAGTGTACTCTTGAGGAGCCCAATGCACAGCCCTGTTACACTGCCAAAGAATATTAAAACCACAGCAAGCGTTTGGATGAGTATTAGGCACAAATTTAAAAGGATGTGCTTTCTGAAAGTTTAAAGAAAAGCCACAAAAAATTAAGATAATTGCCTCTAACTCTACTTTTAAACAAACATTCATAAATCAATGGCTTTTTAGTTCCAGTGTATATCAGCATTCAAAGTGTATTTATTCCTCAAAGAATCAGAGGCATGTTGCTTCATACCTCTAATCTTCGCTGACAGAACAGCATCAGGAATTACTTGCTCTATAGTGTGGACTAAGCCAATAATTTGTTGACTCTTGAAGTAAATAAGTAAGAAAGAAGTCATAAAAATATCATCCCCACCTTTAAAACTCTAATTGTGCCAATCAGGTGTCTAGATGCACACAACCATGCCAGTAAGAATTTGGTTGAGCTAGACATATGCTGTGTGAAGCAGCTGCACAGCAGTGGTGACAAAGAAACTCCCCTCAGCAGTTTATGTTGTGTACACAGCAAAGGAAGTGAGGATAAGGCAATCACTTTAAAAAAAACCGAACACAACAAACAAAAACCAACCAAACAACAAACAGACCAAACAACCCACAGCAATTACAGAATCATCTGGAGAATCACAATTTAATTAAAAAAATACATATTAACCATAAGAGCAATTCATTCAACACAATGACAACTTTATTGAAGGAAAAAAACCAGCACTTGTAAGTAAAGATTTCACTTTGTTACAGAAAGTTGGAAGTTAGGAAAAAATGTTTATCAAAGTAGAAATCAAACAGTGTAAATACATAGAAAAAGCACAACAGCAATCAGTAACAATATAAAACATTGTGGAGAATTTCCGAGAGTTTGTTTTTTATTTTACAAAACAATTCCACGGCTGTTAAAAAAAAATTAGTGTTGTCATATTACAGTGAGGCACATTGTTTTAAGAAAATATACTATTTCTGTGCTTTCTGTCCTACGTGGTATTTGCTATGGTGTAAACAACAGTATTTAAGACAAATGTGTGTTTAAACGTCATCATCCTCAGTTTTGAGGGTCTACAGTAGCAACAGTGATGTTACCTTCATTAACACGATTAAGTACCAAAACTAAGCAAGAACTGTTCTCAGAAACTCAGAGGGTCTTTCAATCTCTTAGCACACAGCAAAAGGGGATGAGCTTCAACTGCCCACACCACTCCATGAGGCAGTTCCCAGAGCAGGAGTTGTGCCAGCTGCCATCTATCCACAAGGTAGGATCGACTCCAGCCTGTGGCTCTGCCTGAGCAGTCTCCACCATCCTCTCAACTTGTGTAGTAAGTATCCACACATAAAGCCTAACACTCTTTTTTCTTTGTCCTTAAAACCATGATTTCTTAAAAGCATTTCAACTTGGTGGAGAAATTTCTTCCTTGTTTTTTGTAACAGCTCACAAAAAATCTTATTACTGTAAACAAGACAGAATTGTTCACATCATCACTGTAGAATCATCTCTGATAGTATCACTATTCACAACAGACTTCACATAAAATGGAGTAAAACTTTTAAGTACTGAAAAAAAAAAATCTTGCATTTGGATTGATTTAATCTCAGTACTTTGGAAACAGAGGACTACTGCCCTCTCCATTTCCATTTCTGCTATATCTGGAAAGTCAGATGATCCCAGATGTGCACACTGCATGCTAGAACTGTGTGCTGAGGCTGCCTGGTTAAGGTTGTTAGCTGTGCTGCAATAAGTGAAAAAAGTGGATAGACAAGTCGACCAACAGCGAGGCTGGGCAAAAAAGGTACTTTCTGGTAGAACATCAAATCCTACCGAGATGGACATTTAACATCATACAAGTTTCTTAAGGAAAAGTCAGCCTTGAGTTAAGTGCTGTAGGCAACTGAGAGAGGACTTTGGGAAGGAAGGAGCTTTGTGATTTAGAGCACAAACGTCTCTATCTGCAGTAGAGTGCACACAACAAACATTCCTGCCTTGAAGGACAGTAAGATAGAAAGAGGGCTTCAGAAATACCCACCACGCTTCCTGCCAAGCCGGTCACCAAAGCTAATGATATCAAAACTTAACACAAAGTACTTTCAATAACAGAAGAAAAAAAATGGAATAACGGTATAATCTCATTCAGACTTAAACTGGTCAAGAGGGAATGTTCATGTACTAGTTTACTCCCCGATTATGTAAAATCATATGAAGTATTTCAACAAAGTGGAAAAATCTTTTGCTGGTAAACTTCACAATAGCCTGAACACAACTACTTAAAAGTGAGTAAGAATCTGAAGAGCTTTGTTCTGATAAAGAAGAGTTATTTTAAAGCAAAACTGCTTGTAGATGAAGTGATAAACCCTGAGTATGTTTCACATATTGACAAGAATATGGCGAGTCTCTCTGACCTTCACAGGAACAGAACACAACATCAAAGGGCAACATAAGCCCTGGTGGCACTCTAGTGATGTTTATGTCTTTGCCAGCTCTCCTTGGGCTCCCTTCCTTTAAGGGCACAATTGCTTAGCCTCATGTGCTATGCAGTCAAACTAGGATTTGTTCTTCTCTTTTACTGAGTAAAAGGCTGTGGAGCTGCAATTAGTTTTGAAAAGGATAGGAGGTGGGAAAGAAAAAAAAAATCCATTGAAGTTTACCTGTTATCTATCGGTAGTTTCCTGAATTTCCTACTTTTAAGTGGTTATGCTCGCAACAGTCAGCTAAAAGGTTCCAGTTAGCTAGTGTGCAAGCTGAAACACTGCTGTTCAGCATACCCAGTTCTAGCGTTCCTCCAAAGGAACTGCTAGAGTCAGGGTACCACAGCCCAGCACAAGCTAGTCAAGGAATAACACTCTAATCTGAAGTATTCAAAAAAAGAATCCCAGAAGCCAAATTCCATTATGCTGACTGCTGATGAGCCTGGAATGATGATCTGAGGTAACGTAACTTTCCCATAGAGGGGAAAGAGAAATAATTATAGTGTTTTCCAGGAACACCCAGAGATGTTAAACATAAAGAAATGTTGGAATGCAAAAAGCATTAAGGTTGCTTTTCAGTTGCCCTTATACAAAGAAATTCTGTAAACATTACCAAAGTCCTAAAAGACTAAAACAGGTCTTCTGACAGATGTAAATTAGGTTTTGAATCTACTCCCTTTTAAAAAAGACACACATCAGTTTAGATACTTGTCTTAGATCAGTCAGGGAAAAGAAGCAGCACTATTCTCTAACTCCCAGTCTCTCTTGGGCACTTAAGCAATTCTTCCTTTCAGGAAAAGTAATAGTCGTGCTACTTATTTCAACACTAACTCCCAAATCCTAAAGAGGCTGGGCGGGGGGGGGAAGAAGCACCAGGACACAGCACTTGAACATCACCCTGTGTGATGGATTCACCCCACCATCAGCACCATGTTCTCAAGGTCGCATTCTCCAGTCAAACACCTTTGTAAGAGTAACTCTAACCAGCTGAAATCCACAGAAAGCCTGTCAAAATTCCCCTTTCCTACCACCCTCAAATGGGAATACTTTTTTAGCGGACCCTAAGAGCAGGATGGTACTGCTTTATAAATTGTCAAAATCTTAAATTTAAGTATCCTTCTGAATTTACTCAGTTTCTAGTAGCTTTCTGGAAGGCACAGACTTATTTGGCTTCACTGTGGGCTTATACTTCATCGCCCAGGAGATCTAGTTTTCACTACATTAAAAGTGTGGTACAAGTCAGGGATGCACTTGCCATGCAAACACAGTGTTGTTAAATGACTAAACTCTTGATAGACGGAGGAAAAGAGGCTTCCGTTCATGCTAAAGTCCACTGGATAATCATCTTCATAGACACTGACTCCAGCAGAAAAGTGAAAGTAGTTAAACACTATTCCACACAGCAGAAGCAGCAATCTGTGCTCAGATACTAAACAACTGACCACTGCCTGGGAGTAAATGATTATACATAGCTCAGAAAATAAAGGGAATGTAGAGCGGCTTTGGAATTTGGATACCAGTTTGTTTGGAGCTAGCAGCTCAATTGTTACACGCTTTCTTTGCTACAACATACAATAGAAAAATTGTACTTTCTTCTCAAAACAGAAGTTCACTAGTGTATGTGAGAGCTTTAGGAGAAACAAAACTGATCCCACTTAGAAAAAAAAAAAAAAGAAACGTTGGAGTTTTAACTTATTTACAAATTTCAGAAGAAAATGTCTCCTCTCTGGCCCAGACCGCTTAAACAATAGCCCACTTCCACCTTATCAAAAGTCTGTCCTTTGAGAAAGTACATAAATTCTCTATTTGCTTACCTGTCAGGCCCTCAGCTTTGCACCGCTCCTATGCTACAGCTGGGGGAGAAGAGAAGCAACTTGCTTCATACGAAAAATTTCAGTTTCCTACCTTGTATGTATTGCCATTAGCTGTAGGCAAGGCAAAGAACTCGGGTTCCTGGCAGCTGAAAAATTCTATTAACCTTATTTTGCAAGTGCTTTTCCTACAGGAACATGTTTTTACAGACAAAAATCTCCCTTTCATGTATTTTAAGGAAACAACATCACTCTAAACTGAAAATTAAAGAGACAAACGCTTCATACTTACTCCAAAACAGTCTTTTCATTTAGATTGAAATCTTTTAGAAGTCTCATAAAACTAAAATTTTGCAAGAGAGGTAGGAAGATAAAGAGTACCAATATTCCATTATCCAAGGCAAACAGTGAAAAGACTAAGGCTATTTTAAAAAACCAAAACCCAATTTGTCAAGACTTATTGAAAAAGAAATCCTCTAGACTGGCGTAGTCTCATCAGAGTCAAGGCGGGGCATTTTATAGACTTCACATATTACTTCGATACTTTTTCAAAACCAGAGACATGATTTTACATAAGAATTATCATACCAAATTCTGGATCTCTGCCCCGTTTTTCTGCCAGACTGAACTTCATTTGATCACGAGCACCCTGTCCTACAGACACCATTGCTTACAAAACCAAGCAATTGCACACACTGGATTTAACAAGGAGTTTCTAAGAAGCTGAAAGGCACATGTTTAAGACAGAAGTAGGAAAATACATACACAGTGATCTTAACACAGTTCTTCTATACTTCCTAGAACTTTGTGAAACATCCAGTATTCCTGTTAAGTCAGGCAGACCGAAACACATTTCTTCACAGCATCCCTACAGGCAGGAGAAAGAAAAAAACACAAAAACCAAGAGTGACCTCAGTTATGCTGCTTGATGAGACCCACTGCATGCTGCTATCACACTGACACTGAGGACTTCACAGATCAGCTGGCCACGTAGTAATTGTGCTGACATAATATGCACGACCCCGTGAATGCATTAGAGGGAGGCAGGTGTGCTCACCCTCCCACCTGCCCCACCACAGCTGAAAGGGCACCTCCAAGCCTGTATTGAGGCAGTGCCCTGAAGAAGGGTGGGGCTGGTGGAGAGGAGAGAGCTGTCTGCTCAAACAGGGGAGAACAGGAAAAAAAAGTACACAAAAAAATAAGCTCATCTAGTAGCATTTTGGACCAATATTCAGGCATTCCAAAGGCAAGCCTTAAATTCAGAGTGTGGTCAGCACACTGACATACAGGAAGCCCTCTCATTTTGTTAGATTTGTGTTCTGCTAAAGATGCTTAGTTTCATTTTCAGGTTATGCACATATATTCCCTCCCCTAAAACACCACCATGGAAAACCTTCTAAACCTATGTATTACAATGCTCCTATAAACTAATTTTCTGTAGCATTAAACCTCAGGATGACAAAGAGGGAGCAGGGAAGCTTACCTTGCAAATGGTATGAAGGAAATGCTGTACCTAAAAAGAAAGATTTTTAAAGTTACTCTTCATGTCAGATTTTATTAGTCATAAGCAAGAACAACAACTACCCCTCTGATGCTTTGAACAGGTTAACTGCAAGATACACAACCAAAATGAAGCTCTGAGTTTGTGAGCAACAAGAATGAGCATCCTTGCAAGCCATCTCAGCCCAGCCAGGTTGTGAAACACTATGGCAAAATCAGGGGGCATATTGCAGAAACATTTTAAACACAGTTCTCCTGCACCCAATATTCTTCATGCTCCAACGCCTACAGGCAGGTAAGATTAGTCTTGAGGGCTGGCTAGATATTCGTATCAGTTTCTGTACTTACTTCTCTGACATTATACAGAGCATATGTTAACTTAAAGAACACTGACACTTAATTTGATTGGCATATCTGGGTCTTTTAACGAGATAAATTCAGCAGAGCGTAAAAGAGGAATACCAGACAATAAGCGACAAATTGATTTAAAAGGGGAAGGAAAAAAAAGCAGTTTTACTTCAAGCTCATAGAAATTCAACACATTCAAAGGAACTTCCCCTGAAATGAAGACCTGAGTTCCATCTCCAAAGTCTCTGAAGTGGTGTGGGAGACCAAGAAGCAGGAACAAGTCAGCTCCTCACTGATATATAGTCTCGTGCATCCAGGGGAATGGTGAGGTAAAAATTCTCCTTCCCTTTAACCCCTGCGAGGTCAAAATCCGCTCACAGTTCAGCTACTGATGTTAGGTGCAATAGGAAATGGGAGTGTGCGGGGAGGAAATCACTTACCACGCCAAGGCAAAAAACTGTAAGATGCAGAAAAGGAGTGCGAGTCCTTTCTTATGCCACTGAAGGAGGAGAGAAGGGGGGAGTGGGGAAGAAACACAGTAGACAGAAACAACAGTGTAAGAATCTTATTTTTAAAATATGCTCCAGTTGTACCTACATATAGGACTCAAGTACTCACCCAGAAAGCAGAACACAGTGTTAGTATGAGACACAACTAGAAGAAAACAAACAATTTCTATTAAACACAGAAACAACTCCAGTTTTTATAGATATTGTAACACTGCAATGGGTTCCTTCAGAGACAGATTACATAATTTCACAGTTTTATCCAATCCTGCATAAGAGTTCCTCTTATTTAAAATGCTCTCACTATGACATTTCTGAAGTGAATTAAAGCAATGAGGAAAAATCTGCCTGGTATCTCCAGAAAGCAATTTTATGTCTGCAAAGGAACAAGAGGAAAAGGTTCCTACAGCTCTTTTGCAACATCAGCAGCTTCCTAATTCATCCCACACACTTCTTGGTGTCATAGGTACAACTACACTACAGCATTTTGCATCAGACTTTTCAGTTACAGCTGTAGTCTTTCTGCTTCTATACATGCCATATTTCCTGTTGATTCTCAAGGTTACCATGTGGTTGAAGTGATGTCATTACTGAATTCCTAACAGTTAAAACTACAATACACTTTCAAGAACTTTCAGCTGTTGCTCAGTGGCTCTCCTGTTTAATATAAAGTCCAGCACAGCCATTCAAACTGGCACTTTTTCTTTTCTCCAAGTTGCACTGTCCTTACTACAGTTAAAATTTTGGGGAGCAGTAGGCCATTTTGGATTGTTTTCTGTTTCAACCCTCAGTTTTAACAGGAGTCTCCTTTTAGTTCACGTTTTCATTTTCAAATGAAGACATTACAGCTCATTTAGCTACGAGAGAAGCGACACTTGATCTTCCTTCATCAACATCTAACAGCCTTTGGATGCACACCTACCATTGTGCTGCTAGAGATTATAATGTGCATTTTGCTCGAGTAAAACAAAAAGCAATTTAATACTGCATATTCAAGACAGTAACACACACATTGCCAAAGGAATCATACACTTCACCTCAATCATGATTACTGACGTTAAACATAGTTTTTCCATTAAAGGTGGTAATTTGTATATTGGTCTAAATACTAAATCCTAGGTCTAACAACTGGCTTTATTCCAGCGAACAACATTCCAGGCATTCTCCCGACTCTAGGAATCCTAAACGCATAAAAAACAAACACCCCACGCAGTAGGTTTCCAAGCACAGTCAGTTTCTCAAACCATCAGTTGTCTGCAGCCTCTGAATCTTTAAAGAGAAAATAGGAAGCGCTGATGGCAAGCAAACACTCTGAAGACATTCACGTTGAAAACTGGACGACAGTTTCATGCAAGTTAAACCACCTTCCAGACTTTAGACTCTCCAGGAGAAAAGGGGAAAGTTGAACAAAAAAAGCATGTGTACTTTAAACAAGGAAGTTTGAAACCTAGCAGCAATTTTCACACCCATTAGAAGGTTGGCTACAATCCCCATCTTCTGAAGACCAAAATAATTCCAAGGGCTGACCAGCTATATGTTGAATTTGCAGTTTCATTGTGTCATACGAGTTTCCAAACCTGAAGCTATCAGCCAGCTGGGATGATTTCTCGATTTTTAATGCAAAATGACCAAGGCCTAGAGATTCTCCAGTTGCTTTGTCAGGAAATTACAGTTTTATTCAAGGTAGAAATACTGACACAGCAATTTAAAGCAAATCAGATGGAATATAAAAAGACACAGTCATGCAAAATAAAATACCATAGTACAACTTTTTAAAAACTAGTTTTCCATCTTTCATCTTTTAAATATGATGTTGTGACCTCAAGCATGCTAAAAAGCATGTGCATGGTTCACACACGCCAGCCACAGACCCTTAACACTCATTTAGCAAAACAACCTGGCTTCAGCTCAGGCTTTCATAATTGGAAGGTGGTTTTCTGGTGCTACACATACCTTTCCACTACAGCAGATGTGCAGGATGTTTGATGTTTTAAGGAAAAAAAAACCCCAAACCAACAAAAAACCACCCACAAACACATCTTGACATGCAGTTAGATCAATGTATACGAAAGGACTTTACAACAGAAATTGTTCACAATTAGAACGAGTTAAAACCGATTCCTTCGATACTTACTAACATAACAATAGTAGCAATCAAACGCGAAGGCTCAAACATCCTTTTCAATTGTTTCATTGGTCCCATAAGAAAGAGAGTGCTGTGAAAAACAAACCGACACCAACACAGCGGTTGAAAAGCAAAAGTGAAACTAGGTGAGATTCCTCCTTAAGGGGGGGTGATTTTGTTCACTTGTCTGCTGTCAGATGGGGCATCACTACACTATGTTGTTAAGGTAATCAGAGCTGCATAACAAACGAAACTGGATATACAATGACACCAAATCCATTCCTGCTTTTCTTTGAGCAAGGTATTTATTCTGTAATTTTATTCGCACTTGTTCAGTTACAATTAACATAAGCAGAGCAGAACCATCAAGCCAGAAGGTCAGCTTCAATTAGATCATTCTTGACAGATGTTTTTTTAACCTGCTCTTCAAAAACACCAGCCACAGAGGCTCTGCATGGACTGCCAGGTAACCCAGCACAATTCCTCTACAGAAAGAGCTGTTTTCAGGCCTGGATCTGTTTTCTGATCCCTTACCAGATCTGCAGCCCTCATTTAGAGCCCTGGCGATTGATACTGCACAAACTATACAAGGTGAAAGTTTTATCCAAGGTGATGTTTCTGCCTTATATACTACATTATTCTGCCTCATTGCTATAATATTTCCAATTCCAATCCCTGTGCTAATGTTTTGTTAAGGTTCCTCGATCACAGAAAGTTGTGTCTGTCAGAAGGTCGGTGGGGCTGTGCTTCAGGAACCTGCGTAGCCACGAAGGCAAATCAAACAGGCCCTGACAAACAGATGGCCACAGCTATATGCACCAACACACAGAGAACAAGAACAAATGCAAAATGGCAAAGACTTTTTTTTTTTAATCTTGAGGGGGGAAAACCAAACAATATCAAAAAACCTCAATGCTCAAAGCATGAGTTTGATTCTTCTTTACTGATGAGTAACTTTTACCTTGAATGCATTTCTAATAACAATAAACAAAAATTTTCTTTACCATTTCAGGGCATTACTGGGGAAATGCTGTTCTTTAAAACTCATCAACAAGAGAATGATCTACATAAATGACTCTTCTCGCACAAATGCAACAGTTTCTACCGCTCGTGCCCCTTTACCTATCATTCTGCTTTAGCTTCTCATCTTTATTAGGGAACTAATATATAAAGATTGTTACCTTCCAATAGATGCAATATTCCCCAGTGTATAAAACACTGCAAAGATCAACAGCCCTTTCTTTGGTACCCATAGCAGACAACTACCCTAAAAAAGAACATTTAGAGAGAGAAAAAAATTAATATTGTTTTTAAATTGCAAAAGAAATACATCCAAGAAATGTCACGATACAAAAGAAGTCTTTGGTAAATTTAAACTGCAGAATCACACACACAGAAGTAAATTGCATTTATTGGCATTCCTGTTAAGAGTACTAACTTGTAACATCTAACTAACTGAATCAGGTGTCTTATCAAGAGACTCAGAAAAAAAAAAAAATCCAGCCACAACATACAGCAAGGTTGTAATTACTGGGGGAGCTGAAACTCAAGATATCAGGGAGATCTGGCAAAAATCCTTACCAAGAGTGAGCACAGGCATCCTATTGCAAAACAAGCAACGAAGCCTTTCACTCTGGTGCCCCAGCCGAGCGAAGTTGCATCAATAACCTAGAAACGAGTAGAAAAACGAGGGCAAGTTATTCTTTACGAATACACCCCGCTAGTCTCAAAACTTTCCTCTGATAAATCCCAGCGCAGGAAGCCTCAGCCCCGCACCCGCTGCCGTCCCGCCGGCGGGGAGCGCGGGCTCTGCCAGCTCCCCACACAAACAGGCGGGAGGTCGGTTGTTTCAGCGTTTGGGGTTCTTTTTACTTTATTTCTCCCCGCTTCGCCCACGCCAAGCAGGTACACGGCCCGTTCCCGGCTCCCCGCTTTATCTGGGGTCTCCCCGGGGAGAACGAGCCACCCTCTCCCACAGAGCCAGGGCCCCCCGACCCGCGCAGGCAGCGGC